TATTTTTATTGTCTAATACAGTACAGAATTAATCGTAACCTTTACAACAAACTTTGTACATAACGCTACATTCAATCTAATAATGAATCCTAAACACTAATTTTCATGCAAGACCAAGTGATGATGATGGAATTAATAGGTGACCTTAGTGAAAGTATTAGTGTTAGTGTAGACATTACACTGATAATCCCGAGGCCGCTGAATTATTATGTCAACAACAGGCGTGAACTTACATACACAATTAAAAAAGTACACCACTTGGTGGAAGCCTAGTTCCTGTTTCCTTTTCTATACTATAGAGAAGGAATGGTTCTGATGATCAGAAAGCAGCTATTGCTCCTAAACACCCGTAGTAAATTGGATATGACATAAAATAAAATAAAATAATTTGTAATAAACAGATGACGCTATTTAATGAAGGCTCCTGAAATGAAAAACTGAACTACACAATGGTTGGTCAGGTCGAGACAAGGGGTAATGGCGCGAAAAAGGTTAAAAATCAGAGTGAATTATAATTTCGATATTTATGTTGCTGGAAATGTTTTTTTTAAATTATATTATAAGCTTATGAACAGTACAAGCCAGTAACTCACCTTATATAAAGTGGCGGCAATGGATGAGTTTCGATGCCAAATTCCCAGGTCTCTGTTAATATCCACTTTAAGCGCCTTTCCGATGTCTTTTTTTTAATGAAGTTTACAGTATAAGATGTCCACCATATGCTGTATCTGCACGCCTGACAGCTCCTCTCCCTCATCCTCAAATCAGTTCCTTTTTTTTACAAAGATCTCATGGTTGACCTTGCTCTTTACTTCTGTCACGGTGTCAAGGCAGCCGATAAATTGGTCAATGTTAAAACAGCATCATGTACGGAGCCCACGAACCCATTTTTTTCAGGCGACAGAAATCTAAGCTAATATACCTAGCCTTCATGTCTTAACCTATATAACCTAATTTAATCAACCTAGTTTAAATTATTATAAGATCTATTGCAACCACCAAAGGTTCATTAGGTTAGGTTCAAGTCTTAGTGTATCTGTGAACAAACATGCTTAGGTAAAATAAGGTCATGGTAGGTTAGGGTAGGTGAGTTAAATCAAGAACTACTGTATAAACTAGTATATGATCCTTGAGTTAAATTGGGGTCAGTTATGTTAGCTTAGGCTAGATTAAGTTAATTATGTTTGTATTCTTAGTTGTGTTGTCACTGATCAAAATAATGATGCGAATTCTCAAAGTGAGAAATATAACTTCACGACTTTGGATAAGCTAATGAATTGATGAATCAAGAAGGAAAAAAGAACTGTTTGTGTTGGAAGAAGGGACAAGGCTTCAGCCTGACCACTGCATTATCTGATCACTTGTTATACTTACTTACTAGCCACTAACCACTATCATTCCACTATACGGCTGCTTATCATCCACAAACTCACTATCAGTCGATTACCCTCACATGATGCTGACATCACAAGAAACCTGGTCCCATTTTGGTGTATATATATATATATATATATATATATATATATATATATATATATATATATATATATATATATATATATATATATATATATATATATACACGGGATTAGCCCGCCAGGGCACAGGTTAATGACCCACATCAGGGCCTGGGGCGAAAATATAATAATTAGAGTAATAATAAATGAAAAATAATACAAATAAAAAAATAATAAAAATATAAAAATATTAAATAAAAATGTAATAATAATAATAATAATAATAATAATAATAATAAAGGACCATAAATAAAAAAAATAAAAAATGAATAGTGAGAAACGATATATGTATGTTGAGTAATCAAAGTAAGAGAAACAATAAAATTGAAACCCTGCAACCTGGGACTTAGTAAAAAAAAAATTATGCCATATGGCAGCAGGGTCTACCATTAGACAACACATTATGCTTCCAATATCTTCCCAGTCGGTAGTACCTCCCTGTTTGATAGCTATCTACTACCTACCTACCTACCTACCGTATAGAGACAAGGTACCCTCTTACGTATAAGCTGGTCCCGTTCAATGTTGTCAAATGCAAAGACAACACAGGTACAGTCTCGTTCAAGTTTCTTCGAGCACTGCTGGAGACAGCCGGCAACTCAAGGCTGTTTATTTACTATAGTACGTAGTAAAATTATGAATAAATGTAAAAGTGATCGGTGATTGGTTACTTAGTTCCCCGTTGCTTAATTTAATGGTTAGGCTTTGTTGTTTCGTAATATATTATATTACGCACTGTAGTAAACAAACGGCCTTGAGTTGCCAGCTGTCTCCAGCAGTGTTTGAAGAATCTTGAACGAGACTGTACGTACTGTACTTCCAGGGGAACAAAAGCGTCTGGTTGGCTGTCTCACCAGCCAATAAGAAAGGAATTTAGTCAACACAAACATGGCGGAAGCAAGGTTAAAATTATAATTTGTGACAAGAAAAATAGAAACTTAGATATAATCAACTGAGCCTGCCATAGTCAGAAGATCAGGTCACACTCAGGGTTCTTGTCTCCTAAAAATGTGACTTGGGGCATGCACTTGGGTGGAGAGTGAACCTGTAACAAGCCTGGTAAGTTTGACCAAGACAGTGGTTCCTCTCTATACAGGTGTTATACAGCCTGCGGCAGTGCCGGATTTAGGTATAAGCTAGATAAGATATAGCTAAGGGCCTCTCCGAATTCATATTTGTAAAAATAAATAAGTAATACATGGTAAACAGAAAAACAAATGAATAAATAATGCTATACTCGGTATGTACTAAACTAAAGATAGCCTATATATATATATATATATATATATATATATATATATATATATATATATATATATATATATATATATATATATATATAATTTTTTTTTTATTAATGATACATATAACAGCATTTGTCAAGTTGGTACTATCAGATAATTTTGTATGATACCAGAAAACTAAGAGTTTCTTAAGTAATTTTTAGACAAAATCATTTATGTCATCACATGATAAACTGCAAAGCTTATCATTTCCAATGCACATAATACCTAATGCTGTCAGTTTTCCTTGCAACATAGTGGATCGTAGTCCATTCTTAATGGTTTTCAGTCTTGAGAATGATCTTTCCCCTGAAGCAGGATAATACTGTATATCCTGCTGTATTCATAAAAACTTCCTTGTCGCACGTATAATTTAGTTACTTTATCCTTGGAAAAAAAAAGTATTCCAAGTGGTAGTGGCCTGGTGGGCCTGGGTGCCTCCCAAAATGACATAGATTAGGGCCTCAACATGGCTTAATCTAACCTAACCTGACGAAACCCAACACAACCTACCCCTAACACAGTTAACCTTAACCCAACTAAATAATGTCTATAGTCTGAAAATTAGATTAAGTTTGGAGTCTAAATGAGGGTTGAGTTTAACACTGTTTACGCTATAAAAAACTGCATTTGCCGAGTAGATACAACACTCACTTCCTATCCTAGGTTCATATACTGTAGCTGTGACTCGGTACCTACTTCTACAGCTGGGAGGCCGTCAAGTGTATTGCCGATCATACTGCATCGTTATGTACTGAAAAAAAGAGGCTTACAGCCTGCATTGTGCTGTATCCTACAGGTAGCTGTCTCTAATGGATCATACAGCCTACGTATAGAAGATATACATATGGGTAGAATATTTAGTTGTAAGATGTAAGTGAGGAAGTTTGGTAGAGTGGCCGATTAGTTATTTACACTTGAATATACGTTCTTAGGGGAAATATTCTAAACCACCAATATATATATATATATATATATATATATATATATATATATATATATATATATATATATATATATATATATATATATATATATATATATATAATCTAATACTGGCCCGTACTTGTTAGATGAATTATACACTGATAGTATACACTTTTATATCATTACCTGCACATTAGCACCAGATTAGCAGCAGTAGTTGAAGTAGATCAAAGTTTTCAATACTATTGATGGTATCTATGAAAATACTCGTATCTACACTTATATAATACTGCTAGTTTTAAGTAATTTTCATGGCACTTTATGTTAAAACTTGCACTCAGTAATTTTAAATATAAATTACCACATCATCTATACACAGTATACTGTATACATGCGTTGTCTACAGTATGTGCATGCTGGAGTGTAGAATTTAATTGCATATATACATGATTAATACATTTAAACGAATTACGATTTTACTGAATAAATATCAACCTAACTATCAAAATAGCTCAGTATAGGACCATCTTTCTCGTCACATGACACTTGAGGACGGCGCTCCCACCTCGTGATGCTGGTTAATTCTCTCTAGCTTTCAGTTACGTTGTGTAAGACTAATTAAGAATTTTTCTTCAAGATTTTTCCAATAAATGAAGCAATTCATTTAGTACGATACAATAGTAAGATATAATATGACAGAAAATAGATCTTTTAAAGTAAACATCTTCGATCCCTGGTGGATCTCTGCCAATATTTACCAGCGTCTTAGATTAACGATGAATTAAATATAATTTTTATATTTTATATAAAACCATACATAGGTGGTTGAAGAATTAGATATATTAATAACATTTTAGGTTATGGAATGGAACCAAATATAAGGTCTTCGCTTCTCGTTTTCAATCATATGATTGTCAGAACTCATCTTTTGATGTCCCTCTATCTATTCAGGAGTGAGTTTCATCATTATTTTTATTAGTAAGATCTGGAAAACAGGTCATATATTTTCATTTAAAATGTGATTGAGATGCTAAATATCTTACATAAAATAAATTTTAACTTATGTATTCTGATAGACAATATATTTTAGAGGAACCATTTTATTAACATTTATATAAATATCCATTAGCAGTAAAATTTCTCATAATTTTTTATAAAATAATATTATGTTATATTTATAAACTAAAATGTTGTATAATATTTACATAATCAGAATATTAAAGTGAAAAAATATATCTACTCTTCATTCCTGACTACTGGCGGGTGGGAGCAGAGGTGACTGTTGCCATCAAGCTGCTCTTCCCACATTCATCGTCATGGCCAGCCAGAGTCAGGGTGTACAGCAGCTCTTAGCCGCCGAGAAGAAGGCAGCCGAGAGGGTCGCAGAAGCCAGGAAACGTAAGTAAATACAAAGTAAAGTTAATTGGTGAGAGAGACCAGTAATGTCTGGGTTGATTTTATTAGGAGTATTGATTACCTCTGGTCAGTCGACATTCTCTGGACCTGACGAATATTTGTTGGAAGATACAAGTTATGAACTGTCTATAGAAATAATGGTCATTATTAAAAACACGCCAGCAAGAGTTTCAAAACCATATATTATGAAACTAGCCAAACCTAACTTAACTCGACCAAAACTACCACAGGGTTGTCGTCTGCATTAAAATACTGTACTGTAATGGTTTAGTGGTTGTCTCTTTGGATTATTAGGGTTATAGTTCAAACCACATGTACGCCTTAACTACCTACTGTACGACATTTCACCATAGAATGAAAGTGCTTCCCTACCTCACGAAATTGACAAAAAATGCATCACCAATTCTGCAGGTGCACTTCCTACCTTCAACCCAGCCATGACACCCTCTCACTTCCCTGAAGGCTGGAAGGTACCTCTCATAGTTTTCTTTACTTAACCAAACCAACATGTAACCTAACTTAACCAATTTAGCCAAACCTAGCCATGGAGCCCAGGAACTATAACCTAACCAGGGAGGAGGTTCGCCCCCGACCCCTCTTAAGATTCCCCAGTTGACTGAAACTAAAATAATACCGAAGATAAATCTTGTTATTTTACCTTAGGTTAGGTTTTTAGGTTTATTTAAAATAGGTCCAGGATATAGATACGACAGCCGTATTCAAAATGTAGATGTCTATTGGTATGACAGCCTAATACAATGACCTTTTTGATTAACCTAACCATTAATACAGTCAATACGGCTGCCATACCTATATCCACTATGTTTAATATTATAAAATACACCACAGTAGCAGCCGGTACCTCTGTTCGCTGAATGCTTCCTATATTTTTAGATAAATTTTTTCAGGTTTGGTGAAGATGGTCAATAATTTTTGTTAAATCACATATGTAGCAGTATCTGGTAAGCTGTTCCTCTAATGGTATAATTGGCACCTGAATCTGTATTTAATTGAAAGTTCACCACATTTAAGGAGTAGTGTTGTGTTCCAGCTCTTCTGTCAATTTGTCCGAACAATTTGACATTGTGTATAACGAGAAGTTCAAATTTTCTTATTTGAACATTGTCTTCTATGTGCTGTCACTCTGAGATGAAAATAATGTGATGCTGGCTGATGGCACTGTGTGTTACCTTAACCCAGAAGAAATTATAAAATTAATATCCTGCAAAATGGAATGACCTTGATCTTTTCATTGGTTTTCATGAGGTAGGAGAGCATATACAGTACTGTGAAATCTCCATATAAGGGACTTCTGTCTCCGTATAATCTGCCAGATGGGGGGCTTCACAGCTAGCGGGCCCTCGATATAAAGGACTTTCATCTCTATAGTTCATTAGATGGAGGTTTCACATCTACAATTCTACAGGCCCTCAATATAATGGACTTTCCTCTCCATATAGTTTGTTAAATAGCTCCACTGTACTGGTACAGTATATTTTCTGGTGAAATGTATTACAGTAGGTGGTTAAGGTGCAAAACTTGTCTGAACATAAGATTGGAGGAAATTAGAACATCAGAATAGCGGAAACTGCAGCCGGCCTATTGGCCTATACTGGGCAGTCCCATTTATACCCAACCCCTATCGCTCATATGTCCATCCAACCCATGTTTGAAGCTATCCAGCATATGGGACTACGGTATTTGCCCATACCAGGCAGCCCTGTTTACACCCAACCTATATCACTCATACATCTGTCCAACTACTGTACTGTATATACAGTATTTCTGTATTTTCTAAGAATCTAATGCAGATTAGGAATCCCTGCTTATTTTTTGTGATTAAACACCCTAATGCTACTTTGGTGGTTTAGGTTATGTACAGTATTCTGCAAGGTGTTTATTTATCAAGTGAATGTTTTTATATTTTATGGAGAAACTTCTCACGATGGAACAGTCATAAGGTACAGTACTGTATAATGATGTTTTCTTATCAATATTGATCTACAAAAGTTTAACTTTACTCAAAAAGTTTTGATTGTACTTAGGTGCTAAACTGATTTATTATTTGTGAAATAATAGATATATTGCTTACACTCAGGTAAGGCACGACGTCTCAAGCAGGCCAAGGATGAGGCTCAGGCAGAGATCGAAAAATTCAGACAAGAGAGAGACCGACAGTTTAAAGAATATGAAACAAAGGTAAGTACAAGTGTGTTGATGTGCTGTTTTAAGTGTGTATATATATATATATATATATATATATATATATATATATATATATATATATATATATATATATATATATATATATATATATATATATATATATATATATATATATATATATATATATATTGTGATACTAGATGTCAGTGTGGGACTTGGAAGATGTCTTTTCCAGCAGCCAAAGCGTAAAATAAAATTTCTACTCACCTCTTAGGTGTCTGAACAAGCAACTTGCTGACATTTCAGCATGGGAAATACTGTAAAAACTTTCATACCTTATGAAAATTTTATAAGAAACAATTGTGTGTAATGCTGTACTGTATCTTATGCTTTTTTTTCTTGAATTTACTGGCATGATGCCATGGTCTGTGCCATGCTCATTTGGTTGACAGGAATAGTTCCTTTTGTAAAAAGGATTATTTTTTTAGAAATTAGAAGATACAGTAACTAGTATTTTAGTAATTTGAGATGGCAGAGCTTAACGAGAAAAGTTTTAAGCAAGAATGAAAGATCAAAAGATAATGGTAAAGTAATATCAAACATGTGCTGTGGAGATTATACTGTACTGCACTTATCACAGAATAGGCATTGTGAAAACTGGCTAGTGGAAAAGGGTGAAGAATATGGGTTAAGAGCTAATGCTGTAAAAAGACAAAAATAATGATTGTTCCAAATTAGAAATAAATCGTCAGACGTATCTGGTTACTACACTGTGTATGCCGTGATGTCACATTGGGCCTCATTGAGGGAACACAGTGTTGACTCAGCTGGCGACATAGTAACAGCAGCCCACTGCTTCCACAGATATAAACCCATGCTCTTATTTTTTATTATTTTATAGTTTTAAATTTTCTTTATTTCCAAGTCATCTTAGAATACTGAAATTGTTTTTCAAAAATTTTTGTTATGGGGAGTTCTATTATTACTTATAATGGCTATTTTACTTGCTATTCTTCCCTCAGTCTCAGATACTGAGTACTGTAGTTAAGCAATAAGTTGACTGTCATAAACCACTTGTAAAAATAATGAGGGTGAGAGTGGGTTGCCAGCCTCCTGACAACCATTGGAATTGTTAAAAAATGCCCCACGAGGCCACAAACCCAACGTTAACATTCCCAACCATCAAATGTGCACAAAGTTATGATTTTGCACATACATATACAGCACATACAGGTTATTAGTAAAATAACTAATGAAATAACTGGGAGAAAATGAAAAGCCTGGGACCACAACAATTTGTGGCAAGGTGAGGTGGGAAACTGAATGACTGCACCAAAACAATGATACGAGACCACTATCAGAGACATTCCCTTCATCTAGCTGAAGTCTCCGCTAGATGTAGAAGCAAATACCAGCACAAATTTGTTCCACTAAATTGAACTTCCACGAAAAGAAATTCCGTGAAAAGGAATGATTGCTGTACTAAGATTGGCGAAAACTTCAAGAGAAATACTTGAAATGGCAGATAAAGGCAGAAATGTGAATGAGCAAAGTTAAGAGTTGAAGGGCAGGGACTAGGATGGATGAATTATATTAAAAACTGGGTTCCCGAAGAGATTCAAAATCTAAAGAGTATTGATAAAAACAGCCTGAAGATGTTTAGAATGGAGGAATGTGGTCACCATCCCTCAGATGTGAGGATGGCACTTTTGATTGATTGATTGAATTTGTTTCTGTGGATAAACTTATGTACACCCTTTTTAATATACAGTACACTTTGTTGATATACGAGTCAAATGGTGGTTTTAATAGTGATCACATGTCTGCTAATTGTTCCAGGTCTCATGACAGGGAACTGTAGAATTCATGCTTTTGTTTTTATAGCCGTAAACAGTCTTAACTAAATAGGTGTGGGCCTTCACTAAACTTGTATGTCGATATATCACATTATCTCTGATTAGTTAAATAAGTAGTGTAGCCCTTTGGACTTTGATGTGTTGTTGGCCATTGGACTTTGATTTGATGCAGCAAGCAACTTTCCCACTTCTAGGGTCAACCTTTAATCAATTAGGGTTGTGCATAAGTGATGGAGTCCAATAGTTATCACATGGTTGTTTATCAGTCTCACAATACTGTAGGTCTGCCAACTCTAAATCTTGATAAAGGTGACATAACATCCTACTAGTGATATAACTGTTCATGTTTTATGTATGTACAGAATTATCATGCTCCTTGGAGGATCACATAGTAGCCACTTTGCCCATTCATCCATCACACTTTTAGGTATTAAAATTTTTTGAAATATTTTCTTGTCAACATAAGCATTCACAACTATAATCCAGTCTGAACAAAATTTCAATGTAAAATGGTCTTGATTGGAGTTCAACTTGCAACTACACTATAAGATTTTATTCCAAGTAATATCATTGTGTGAGGGATATCTCAATAAGACAATATGCCATGAACAACTCTCAGGTCTCTTATCAAGGAGGTGAAACGCATTTTGGGTTGAATTTCAGTGTAGGTATTTTCTTGTGTTTGGAGACATTGCACGTTTTTGTAAATTTCGTGTTTATATTCATTATAATAGTCCTGAGAAAATTCTAAATTTCAGTTTAGACCAAAACTGCTCTTAACTTGGTTTTCTGTATGTTTTGTATTGTGGTATTGTCGTAAACATTTTAAATTTGAAGTACAATTCGAAAGCAGTGCTAATTATATCATACTACAAGTGAAACAACAAGGCTCCACTTTATATTGGCATCAAAATGTTGGGTTTTATTGCATCTGGTAACTAAGGAATACACTCACTCAAAAAGCATTGTTGGCAATACTGTACAGGTATTAATATAAATGTTTTGTTTGTGATATACTTTTCTGTAGTGATGGAGGAGCCACCTGTGTGGTTTGTATTTTTTTTTACTTAAATCTGGTTAACACTGCAGATGATGGTAAAATTTTGCTTGGTTCTTTCTGGTTTACATTGTCAACTTTGATGATGCTGGATGAAAACACGAGTTGCATGGGGATGGATACTGCCCGAGAAGTCATAATTGACTGATGTCTATAGGATTTCTTCCAAACATCACCCATCCAAAATTTTTTATTTTGGTAAATAAAATTCCTGGGCACAGTTACCTATTGGACAACAGTAATGTAAAACTGAGTTGCCTGGAAGGAGTGTTTTATGGTTGTCTCGGGCCGCCACATAGTTAGCTGTGATTATGAGTCACTGTAGTACAACATGGTGATTGTTAGATCTAACCTAACATAACTTCACCTAAATGAGTGTGGAAATACTGTACTGTACTTTAGGGCTTCACTGAATATTATGAAACCTTGTTATTTACCAGCTTGCAAATACAGTACTACTGTATAGTGAAGTTCTGCTTTGAGTTCACCCACTAAACCACACGAGACAGGATTATATTTCCTAAGTAAGAAATTATCAAACATTCACCATTCTATTTTGGACTCCTGTGTATATTTTAGCACCTTGGGTCTCAAGATGACATCGCTCTTAAGATCAAGAAGGATACTGTCGAGAAGATTACCGCCATGAACAAGCAGGTGGCGGCCAACAAGGATAAGGTAAGACTTCCACTGTGAACTATTTTTTAAACTATTGTAGGAAGAACTGTACAATAAAAAGGTAACAGAGAACATTATGTAGTGGTATGGTGAGTTAGACATTGCTTTTGTGGTTAGCCTTTCAGAGGGAACTTTCCCAGGGAGTAAAGTGATGCTGAAAATTTTTACCGGTTACTGTATTGTGATTTGTAGTACAGTATTTTGATATGAATTCCATTTGAAAATTTTTTGATCCAAAATATGCAGGCTGACCATTACATTGCATTAGATGTAAGGGGTTACTGTACATTTAGTATTTTAGAAATATCTCTTCGTATCTAAGTTAAGGCACCAACTTTATAATTCAGTACAATACAGTACTGTCATTACAGGTATATTGGAAATTATCGGTACTCTTCTTGTACTTTCTATTAAAATCTTTACTTGCAGTAATGAAAAAAATTCACTGTACTGTACAGTATTACCTCTATACCGAAATACACTATATACTGTACTAAACCCTTTTCAACGATGTATTCAAATATAATACTGTCATTATAAAATTAAAAAAATAGACTGCTATACTCTCTTAGTTAATGCACGGAGAAGCAATTTTTTTTTTCAATCACTGGTACTGTATTAAGATCAAGGAATTGTTATTTTTGCATTGATTTCATGCAAGGTTAATAGATAATAAAAAACTATAGAATGATGATTTTTTTTTTACTTCTAATGTGAAGCAAAAATCCAGAAATGTCTCCCCGCTTCCTAGCTCAAAAATTTTTCCAGGCTGAAACTACAGGCTATATAATATTAGATGTGGAGAATTACAAGGCTTGAATATCCACTAAACATCCACATCATCTTCACTACACACCCACACAATCTTCACAACAGATCCACATGATCTCCATTACACATTCACCTTCTCTCACATTACACAACCTGTAATGCACGTGTTTCAGTTCTTGGTTTAAACAACTGAAATAGGCGTAACTAGATAAAGATGCCAGATGCGCTATTGATAAACTACCCACTGACTCGGCACATACTTTCACCTCCCACAGAGCATAAACATAATGTTCTTTGTTTTTCTTATTTTATAGTCTTATATGATATTTTCTTTATTTCAAGATCACATTAGTGATGAAATTATTTCTCCACAAAGCTTTTTTTTTTACATGTTACAATAGCAACATGTGAAGCCATCTCACAGGACATAGCTGACTGGTGACGTGCTTTATGTTTTGAGCGGTGCACTGTTCTGATTGACTGAAATAAAAACAAACACCAATGGTGATGCATTTTTGATGGATTCCATTACCTTTATTTGTTTATTTTTTCAAACTTAAGTTGGACTAGGACTCGTTCTCATATTTGAGATACCGTACAGATAATGTAGTATAATGATTTTGTCTTTTGATACCAAACTGTAGACAAGTTGTTTGTATGAATGACTTAAGTTCATGTTTATATAGTAAATATAGTAAAGCACAGTATTTATTAGGTTCACTTGTGACAATTTCATGGTAATGGTTATATCATGACTAGAACTTTTCATTATTAATGACATATGAACTTATAAGATATGTAATAAAAACTGCATAATAAACAAATGTTATATTTTAATTTCACAAGTACAGTACAGTATATGTATGTAGGACTAATGTGTTCTTATTGCAGGTGATCGTTCGTATCATGCAGCTGGTGAAAGAAATTAAGCCAGAGCTACATATTAATGCCAAGAAAGAAATGTAAGCAGCTGTAGCATCTTCCTTCTGGCTGTTTGTAAATTTGTGAATGTTATACTTCAAGTGATGTAAAATATACATAGATATACAATATATATGTGTATATACATATATACTGGATATCTATATTTGTGTGTGTCTGTGTAGAGAGAACTTGATCCATTCCGCTAGGTGTTAACAATCTGGTGTCTTGGTGAGACTAGATGTACTGTGTCTGTTTTTAATTTGAAATGTCGTGAAAGAATAACACATGACAAAATTATTTGAATTTAAAGTATGTTTGGTGGGGTATATTATTCTTTAGAATTTAAATTTTATTAAAACAAATAGCACAAGATAGCTGAAGGGTTTTAGATGTTATTTAAACAGTTAAGTACATTATTGTTTTTATGGATTATGTATATTAACATCGTTGCTCTGGTATTATGGTATTTAAGTTTATTATGTACATTAAACATGATGGAATTTTGAGATGGTAATATTCTTTTCCTCTCCAACTTTGTCAGAAATATTGATTAAATGGAAGCCTGTGCAATGTTAACTTATTATCGTCTGTTTTGGTTGACTGTTGAAGTAGCCAGTTATGTGAACATAGAACACATTAAAGGCGATCTTGATCCACCCACTGGGACAGTAGGAGTCTTGACCTTCTTTTGTCAAAAACAGGATCATTGTTAAAATTTACTACAAAACAGATTTCATTTCTATTTAACCCAAGTAGAGTCCTACTGTATATGAACTCGGATACATGCTGTGCGTGTGTTTTAATGAATTAAAAGTGGTGATTTTGGCAGCCATTTTTGTTGTCTTAGGGATGCAGGGTAGTGGTGGCACCATTACAGAAGGGATCTTGTAGAGTTGGCTTGATTTGTTCATTCATCTGCTGTCTTTTCTGAACATTGTGGATGGAATTCATTCAAAGAAGATTTTTAAATTGTCCTGCGTTTCTTAACACACTTGTGTACCGTACCGCCCTATTTATAATAAGTACCCCTATAGCGCACAGGCTGGTTGTGATTTTCTTGATTGTCTATCACATGAAACGAGAAAAAATTTTTTTGACTGAAGTCAAATATTAGAATTTGAAATACACTGGACCCCACATTACAGAATGGATGTGTTCTTGAAAAAGTTGCTGTATTGTGAATATCCAATACACATCTTCCACTTTTGTGAGTGATTAAGTATAGAGGCTTTCTCCAAAACCACCTCTCTTCATCTATAAAGGTACATAAATTTTTGGAACTGAACTTGAATGTGTGTTGATTTTCTGTGATCAGAAGTTATCCAATGGTATCAGAAATTACTCTACAGTGATTTCTTCCATTTCCTACAATGTACAGTCTCCCCAAAAAATATTGGCACCATGGGCCTGATGTACAATATTTGGAAATGATCATAACACGTGCACAGCAGTCTTGGTGTGGTTGGTATTTGATTGTGAGTTGCACTTTTTTTTTTTTTGCACCTGATAATCACCATGATATCTGCAGTATACCACCTATTCTCTACATAATGTAATGAATTGTGAGACCATATGCAAAACCAATAACGTTACGAATAATCCTACTGATTTATGCACCTTAGATACAGTACTACAGTACTGTATTTCAACCCCAGGGGATGGGTTGCCAAGTAGGAATATAACATTACTATGTTTTCATGAACCGAATTTACAATGGAATCACTTCAAATGAAATATTTAACGCTGATCTGATATTACTTTCATTTGCAAATACAGTGACCCCTCCGTTAACGAACTCAATCCGTTCCAGAAGGTTGTTCGTTAACCGAAACCATTGTTTCAATGGGTTTTTGGGTAATTGGTTCCAGCTCACCGAAAATTTCCTAAATTCAACAAAAATGGTAGAAAAGTTCACTTTGAGGTGTGTATGTAGAAGGCTCCTGGATGATGATGATGGGATATAGAATGGGGGTGGAGGAGAAGGAAGAGAAGGCATTGGGGTGGAAGAGAAGTCACCCCATGGCGCCATTTCGCCCATAAAATTTTAGCTCTCTTGGTGTAATTCAAGATTATTTTCTTTAAATGAACACTGCACTGCATTATATATTGTCAATATGTAAAATATATTTCAAAATGACCAATAATTTGCTTGGAAACACAGAAAAAAAGCGTTTAGTTGAAGAGAGTCTCAAGCAAGATGTTACCTCCAGTGAAAACAGAGAGACTAACTCCTGTTTGCTGTGTTAAGAGGCTGGATGCCGCGCATTAAACTAGTCACTTTACCTTCAATTATGTTCAATAATTGTTAAAATGACTAAAAAATTGAATATTAAACTTTTAAAATTATTGAATAGTATAAACTTCTTGATATTTACTAAAATAGTAAGGAATTTAAGCCCTAGAACCGATTAATGTATTGGCGGACTGATACTAAAGCTGGTTGCCCGGTCAGTGCAAGCGAAAACATGTTGAGGTCGGTTCGTAAGAACTTCGTTAACCGAATTTTTTTTCGTTAACCGAATTGAAGATCCTTATGGAAGGCAGTTCGTTAATCGAAATTACGTTAACCGAGGTGTTCGTTAAACGAGGGGTCACTGTACTGTATAATAATTACAGGTGTACAGTATATGATGCCATGTCCAATTACAATGACATTATAATTTACTGCATTTTAATATTTCTACCACAATTGATGATGTAACAATTATGAATATAACGTATTATCTCCTGATTTGTGCTGGAACGGAATATTATCTGATACACACTGAGACAATGTCTGTGCAAGCTGGTCATGGATTTCCAGTGGAAAACACCCACTATTTGACTGCCGTTGATATATTTTCGCTACATTAATATCATCATATTCTACTAAAGATGGAGCTCAGTGATTCACAATAATTATAACAAATGCCATAAATAATAACTGGCAACCTCAGACTCTAGGAAGGCAGGCCTACCAACATAATGCTGGAATCACAATTAGTGATCGGAAATATTTGTCTATTGTGACAAGTGTATCGATGAGAAAAGGGGCCGATACTTTTGGGGGTTAGTGTACTTGTGTGAAAGTTTTCACCTGTACTTGACATGGTGGTGCCAAGGCAGAACATTATCTGTGGCGTCTTGTTGCAATTCAACCTACGTATTAGTGGTCCTAAAGCAAGCCTCAATTGTCTTTTATTTTAGTATATTTGTATTCACTTTGAGTAATGATATACTACTGTACTCGTAGAGTGAATAAATACGACATGAAAGCCTTGCAAAATGTTGAATTGCAAGTTTCAGTTTTCATAGTGACCAAGTTAAGGTTGTTGAAGGAGCACCAAAATCAAGAAAGGTTCAGAAGATACAAGGAACTTTTTCCAGAATTAATCAAAAGTTTGTTATTTTTTGCTTTTATTGAATTATGACATGGCTCAGAGATGAGTAAATTCCTTAAAAAGAACACGAGATATTAACTGAGTGAATAATATTTTGTCTCCAATGCTGCTTCCCTGATATCACATACTGTACTATACAGAGACAGATGGGTATTCATCAGTGGAATGATGACAACTGACTGGCAGTCGCTGACCATTGAATGATAAGTTACAAAAATTTGGCACGTGGGAGGTAGAATTTAATGTGAAATAAATTTTTGCATAAATTAAAATTTTTCACTCCTATGTGCCACATTGTTTTACTTACTCACTTCTCAATGGTTAGCGAATTGGTCCATTAAGAACTGTCATTCTGCCAGTGGACACCGATTATGTACAGTATGTACAGTATATGACAGGCTGCTAATGTAATTTTACTGCTTGATATTGTTGGCAAACAAAATCTGAAGGACACTACAAGTCCTAACTAAAAAACGAAAAAATAATAAATTACAGCACACAATCATCATCAAGTTAAAACTTTACAAAATACTTGTTCTTGCTCTAGTAAAAGACATAATTGGTAAGTCATGCATGTTATCACAGCCAAATTCACATCAGGTTTGCTTAAACATTACACATGTATTAAAAAAGGAATTATTTTTTGCTTTGAGGCTGTGTATATAATTTTATTGGAAGGCTCTGTACAATGTCTCACTTAATATTGTATCTAATGATGTTACCAAATGTTGAATATTTCTTTTGAGGCCAACTAAAGCAAATTTTTCTTTAATTTAATAATTAAGTATGAAATACTTAATCACTGATACAGCCACAACAGACATCACTGAGCACCGAGTACAGTACTGTATACAGTACGGTACATGTATTATACTGTACCGTGGCTAAGGTCTACCAACCTGTTCATCATAACACTCCACCTGCGTACGCTCTATAGGTTTGTGCAGTCTCCCTAATTATATCTCAAGTCATCTTTGCATGAAGTTTAAGATTTTGGTGATGCTGTGATGAAAACTTTGGTGTTAAACCCTTTTGTGATGATTGCTGCACTTTATAATTTTATCCAAATTAGGGAATCCTCCAGCAGCCAAAGGGTTAAAAAGGGATGACATAAGTGACACAGCAGAGCATCTGGCCTTGGATTTTGCGTTTTGTGTACCTTATCAGCTCAATAATATCAAGTACTGTTTGGGGCCAAAATATTTTTATAATAATAAAAAAATAAAATCTTTGATGTATTATTAATTTTTATTATGCTTGTATGTATGAGTAATAATATAATTATTCAAGAAGAAGGAGGATGATATTCAACCAACTTTGCTTTAAATCACATGTAAAATCACTCAAATGTTTAAATAATAAGTTTATATGGTACCGTACTGTACTATTATAAGTAAAGTGTATGTGTCATGAGGAATAAATCACTGTACAGAACTTTGTACACAGACTCTTCCACACTATGAAGGATATAATGACTAGTTATAACAAATACAAGAAAACAAGTGGATTTTATGAGTCATCACAACTTCTATTACTGCAATGCTCAAAACATCAACAAGTTTTCTCCTTTGCACCAGATGGCATGCCTCCATCTTTTCCTTGTATGAAATCTATTGATTAAAGTAATGGACAAAAATTAAGCACTTTGACCAGTGAAAAGCATTAAATTCTTTGAAAATATATATCAGGGCAAATATATCAAATACTTAATTATGTTGAAGCAGTATGTTGATACTCTGCATCTACACACAAACAGTAAAATTGCTTTTCAGACTGAATTTATACATCAGTCTATGTAGATTCAATGTGGTCCCCTTCACACTAATATATGTATTTACCCAGATTCTGATCAAATTTCTTGTTCATGTGCACACCACCTATATCAGTTCTTCCAAATTGCCTTTCATTCTTCATTTTAATCCACTTTTATTTAGTTAGTTGAAGCAGTAATCTTTTACATACCAGTACTTTCTCTGTTATATAATCCACCTAAACCCTTTTGATTCTGTTGGCAGCTTTTTCTATAGTATAATAATAATTTATCTCCTTTTTATTTCCTGTTCTCATTCTATGTACTGTACTGTAAGTACAGTACTTGTATGAATCCTCCACATATACTTGTTAGTTCCTTCCTGCACTCTTCTAACACCTCTTCTATTGTCACATATCACATTATGGTTCTTTAACTATATCAGTCAAATTTACTGGCACATTAATTGCATGAGAACTTTTAAAACTATAAATTCTAAACATAAACATTGATCTTTGAATAGCAGAAAAACCTCAATCTGAAATGTTTTACCACTACTGTATTAATCATACTGATATAAGTACACATTTTGATCACTATCAGCTCAGTACTGAAAAAGTGACAAATATACAGAGTATATGACAATAAATGATACCTTCACATATAAAATATTAATCATAGTGTAAATGTGATCTGGTAAATTAAAGGGCTTTCAAAACTGAGTATAATAGTGAATACTTTTACCCTACCCAACTTATCACTGATATTGAGTGAAAAGTGAGATATTTGCCTCCAGACTCCCATTATTTTTGAGATATTTGCCTCCAGACTCCCATTATTTTTTAAGAGTATACAGTACTTCCAGATTATTACAAAGTATCGTACCTCCTGAGATGAATTTTTTTTGAAAGCCCCGACATTAGTAAATCAAAACAATATTAGTAGGTTGGTTGTAAGCCAGCAGGATGGGTAGGTGAAGGAGTAGAGAATAAGTTGAAGCATCGATTTCCCGAGACACACTGAGCCAACTTTCTAGGAACTCTATCATGGCCGCTGTGCTCATACTGGTCGGGTTTAAACCTCGAAGAAATAAACACTGCAAAGATAAACATTTCAATTTAAATAAACCTTAAACATTTGCAGTGTTTAATCATAATACCTGAATTTTTTGCAATGTTTAACTATAATATATCTTTTATACTGATTCCTTGTACCCGTAATGACAAAATCTGTTTGCATTGTTTAACTATACAAACTATGAATTATCTTGCAGTATATAATTATGCAAAATACAATCAATGGTTATAGCATCACCTACAGTATATTCTGAACTGTTGAAAACTAGCATATTTCATCTACCGGTAACTGAATTTTTTTTGCTTTGGAAATTAAAAATTTCTTATAAAACAGACAAATGAAAAACGTTTACATTTCTTCATATTGATGCTTATACAGTGCATGTTTTGATGCAGGATAGGGTTAGCTTTGCTTGAGTTAGGTTAGGGGAGGTCCTTCCAGCTTTCCTGTCCCTTGCATTGTCCTGCTTCAACCAAACTTCTCTCATACCACACCTGGTAATTATACTTTATATTGCAAATCACCTTCCCTGGGGCCATTTATTCCACCTTCGTCTTTATCTTACTGATATACTGTACTTTTTGTTGCATCCCCCCTTATACAGTACCAACATTATCTTGGAATATATCACTTTCCTCTCCTAAAAAGATTCATTATTATTATTATTATTATTATTATTTTTTTTTTAATATCCACCTCAGTATATTCATCACAACATATACTGTACTGTCTTGCCTGCTGCTTCTCCTTCACTGCCCAACATTCAGAACCACACAACATGGTTTGACCTTTTCACTCTTCATTATGACTTACTCTTCAGTCACTGGTATTCTCTGCACATCATACAGGACTTCACATTCCCTTTTGCACAACACACAATACTCCACACAACACATTATCCATCTTCACCCTTCTATTATAATCCTCCGAAACATTTCCATCTCCATTTAATATACATTACTGTAGTTCACAGGCACCCAAATTTTAGGGTTCTAAGTGGCTCTTCGCCATTCTGCTGAACATATGACACTCCGAGTCAAAAAACCTTGAGCAATGTCCTACTGCAGCTCATATTGAGTTCATTTCCTTATACGGTTTTAACCATTCCATCAATTTGTTGACTAAATAATCTAAATCAAACAATTATGAGAGAAATCATGGACAAGCAGCAGATGTTGGTGCTTCAATCTGTACCAAAAATTCTCACATCATTTTGTCATCTGCTTTTTTCCAAATTCGTGAATGCTGTATTCTTTAGTTTAATGATCTTATCCAAAAAATTGTTGCATAATACATAAGAGCAAATACTGTACCTATTATGTGACAATTAATGCCTTTCATTAATTCCCAATGACCTTCACAATCTTTCAGCTTTGTTTAAATTTCCTTTTTAAAAATGTCTATCAGATCCATTTGATTAATTACCATATTGTCTTAATGAATGCCAGCAATATCTGGATGGGTCAGTACAGGGTTATATCAGGTTAATCTAGCAGGGATAGCATGTAATGGAGATAGGATCCTGACCCAACTAATTGTCTTACATAACATGAAGATATATGAAATATCTATTCTTTATGCCCCAAACACAAATGATTTGATGCAAAATTAAAAGAACAATACTTTTTATAGCATCATGGTAACTTAGTACTGTATATAAAAAAAGAACAAAAACTACTTACTGATTTCAACTGATCATGGTTCATTGAGTCAATCCCTTCCCTAGATATTGCAGCATCCATAGAGTGTAGGATGCGTGCTTGGTCCTCCAGCCGATGGCGACGTCTACCCAACACTGATCGCCCATGAAGCCGTAACAATCCATTCTGTGATATATTAAGGTTGACTATAATATCCCACAATGGCCCTCCTTGACTGTTTACCTGATACTATTTATTCATCCTTGAAGCTCTCTCCCACTACTCACAGGTCCCCACGTTTTTAGAAGTTTGGTTCACACAGATTTAATTTCATCTCAGTTACTTGGTCAACTGTTAAAATTTTCATATCACTTGGTGTCATGTAGGCAACTTTGTGGTGATATTTTGATTTTATAAGATACAGTAGTGATCCTCCCAATTGATCTCAAGGTTCGGTAATACCAAATAGGGGTCACGACAATTTGATTAAAAATGGAACAGTCAACTCCATATTGGGACAAGGGGGAGTAAGCCAGGTAATTTTTTGTCCCTCCCCTTTAAACCAAATACTGTACTTGTGTCAAACTATTTCTAAGTACAGTAGGGTAATAAACCATGTGTGGAAGATGACACAAGCCTAACTAACATAATATGACAAACCTAGGTTTTCATTACAATGGGTTTCTGTACCTGATGTCATCTTTCATAATTAGTTTATTTTTCTACTGTCCCCTACCTGTTCCTGTAATAAGAAAGAACGTTTAGTTGTTCTGTATTTTTTTTTACTAATGTTTTATATTAGGTCAGTGCAAGTGTCTTTTACTATTATAGTATGTTCTATTATAGGATTTTTTCTGTTGGCTTCTTCCTGAATTACCTAACTATTCTACATTTTTTTGTTTGTTACAATTCAAATACTCAAACACACACATACTCTGTACTGTATATTAAGTAGAGTACCTGTACAGTACTATATATAAATACCCCACTGTTCTCGCTTGATGTCCAGGATTTAAAAAAAAAAAGTCTTTCTTACCACGTGGGTTGACCACATGCGATTAATGTGAAAAGGATCTCCTCGAAACAGCGGTAGAAGACTGATTATTTCCTTAGTAGTTGGGTGGATGCCTGAGCCAAGTTTATAGAACACAGTCTTGCATTTTTCTTGTTGCTGCTCATCAGAGATGGTGTAAAGAGCTGCCTGTAGAGATCTGTCAAACCCAAGATGATTATTGTACTGTATACAGTATATGAAAAAATAGGATATGATACACACTGCACTTAAGGGCTGGGGGGTAGAAACACGTGATGAGGCGTGTGAAGTCAAAGGGTGAGATCCCTACATTACAAAAACTGAGAAAGAAAACTGGTAGGCTTGCATGTGTGAGTGAAAGTTAAATGCCTATTGGTGACTTACGTGGCAATTCAAACAGTACTGTACACCGAAATTACAATACTGTACATCATATGATGTGAACCAAAGCCCTGTAAGCACATGTTATATGACATGAATCAAAGCCTTGGAGGTTTAAAAACTGAAAGTATACAAGATGATTGGACTTTTATTCTTATTTTTCATTGTAATGCATCTCCCATTGTATAAAGGAACTCAAATGAGTTCAAGATTTTCGGACCAATTAAATTTGTTTTCCAAAATCACAAAATCTCAGGAAATCTACCTCAACAAAAAAACTCAAATTAGCAAGGGTTCAGTTTAAACATAACTACACAACACTCATACTGCAGATGGTAAACAGCTCTTACAACTGGTACTGCTCATATTTGAAAACTACATACTGTACTGTACAGATAAATGAGGAAGATTAGGTAATGGGGGAAAACATCATGAACGTAGGTGAATGTTAGGATACGAGTGACACCTTCACCCAGTAATAAATTGATTCAAGTGGATAATGATGAGTTAGACCTTCAGCCAATACTGTAGTAGATTGATTCAAGTGGATGATGACAAAGTATTGAATAGTAAGAAAAAATTATTGGGATGACTGATAAAAGTTCTACATCAATTCCCTTGGACTTGAGTCAGTGACAGGGAAAAAACTGTCAAAAATCTACATTTATAGGTACCTGAAGACTGGACGAGCATTGAATAGCCTTTTCTTTAGAGCTAAAACAGCAAAATCATGCCGCTGCTGAATATCCCAAAAGTGGTGGCACAACAGGTAGCGAGGAAACCAGTATCTGTAAGACACCATGCCATAGTTGTATAGAACTGTAGTACCATAATTAAGTATATAAAATGTATCACAAAAGCTCTATGACCCAAACCCATCCTCCATGTGTCATTTACTATGTTAACTGCAGCTGAGAGGAGGGTGAGAGAAGTACCCTAACACCCAATTTGTTTACCAGAAATGTGAAGCCACATCACTGCATTGTAGATTCAATCCCTGGGTCAGATGTGCGAATCACAGTGACCCTAACAAACATGTCAGGTTTCCTCCTGTACTAACACTGGACAATGAAGCTCGTAACAAAGAACAGACCAACCGCCCAAACACCTAGTAAGCTGACAAGTGGTGAAAATGATATATCAAAATACATAAACAGTAAAATTTTATTAATTAAGGTTTGTTTAATTTGTGCTTTTATTATGGGTAGATAATGACTTACCCAATAGGAAAAGCAACATTCTGTCCAAAGGGTATTGAAGATAAGAGGAGTATTGGGAACACCCTGATCATATCTCCTGGCATTTGGTGATACAATTCCAGCTCTCGACGACTCAGTGTGCGTAGGGTACTGCCAGGTAGACTTATTTGTACGAAAACCATGATGAAGTCTCTGAAATCATATTGACCCCCATAAGTTCAGATCAGCTCAGTTCAGTTTTATTCAGCAAAATCATCAAGCAAGTTTACATTGATTCAGCATAGTATATACTGTATATAGACATTGCAGGTATACAATTTAGCATGTGAATAGACAATGCAGGTACACAATGTACTTCTTGTACATACACAGTGCAGTTGTACAAACAATGGTAAACATTAAGGCAATTCAACCAAGGATAGCCAACAAAGACATCAGATGCTTATTTCCCGTATGGTCCTTTAAGATGATGAAACTAAAGCATTGGTTCAGCAAAACACAAAAGCAACATTCAAAAAGTAAAAAAAAAAAAAATTAAATAAAAATTATAATTAAAAATCGACTGTTGCATTTAAAATGTTAAGCAATTATGGGTTCATAGTGGACATGATACGGATAATTTTTTTTGTAAAGTCCACTTACTTGAAATCAATAATAAAGTCTTTAAGGCCAACTGTAAAGATACGGAACATGTTGAAAGTGTCTGGCATTTCATTTTCTAGAGATTCTTGGAACTTCTTCAGATACCAGGAGTATCTTAAGAAGAGGTAACGCTGTACTCGAGATAGCAGGTTTTCCCTTCCAATGTTTTTTTTAATAATCTTCTCTGCAGGTTCTTCTGGTGACTGTATGGAGGAAGGGACTAAATTTGTGTCAGTAGAAGACATATCACTACTAGGGCCAGAAGATTTACCTCTGTCAGTTTCTTTATCTGTCACAACATTATCAATTTTACTTAACACTGTCTTTTCTTTTGGCAAAGGAATTTTGGCTTCTTTCTGAGCATTTAAGTTACTTTTCCAGTGAATGTTATATTTTGAACAAAGCATTGGGCTTAATTCTCTGCCAGCTATACTCATATGTGGCTGCCAAACACTACTAGTAACCGAGTCCTTTACCATTTTGCTGAAAAACTGGTTATTAGTGTGAATATGAATATGCTTTTTAGTCTTAATTCTTCTTGTGCTGTAAGATGTTGTCACTATTAGTGGGCCATAATGTGGAGTCTTCCAAAAAGGGTCATTCCATAAACACAGGCGATGCAGGCTGTCCAATCTCCTTGGAAAACACCTGAAAAGAAAAGAAAGAATCAGTTCAACTCTGACATTTCATTTCTTTTAAAGTTTTGACAGTAACTTAGTGATATGTTTGTTTTAATGTACAATACAGGAACTAAACCCACATCTCAAATTGTCCTGGAAACAATGCAAACAAGCTTGAAAATTAGGAACACTCACTTATTTCACCTGATGATGGAACACCAAATGTTAAATTGATGAAACCTAACATAACCAAACCTCCCTAAGTAATATTAGGATTTTAAATCATAAACTTTCATAGACGGGTTCTTCTTTCACACCGATAGCAGGGTATTATGATGATATGAGATATATTTCTCAGTGTTTTATTGGTTTTTATGCGGAATAACTCTCCTCTACTGTATATATTAGCCTTCTCAAATATTTCTCCTTAGTCTGTACTGTTTTGTGATAAAAGTACTGTATAGATAAGTTACGATCAATGTGTGTCTCACCATAGCGAGGAAGGTGTTTACTCATTATCATATTATTATTACCTGTTTGTCATGACAAAATATAGCTTCTACACTTAGAAACCTTCCATATCAGGATAGGTTAAAGAAACTTAACTTGCATTCCCTAGAAAGACGAAGAGTGCGGGGAGATATGATAGAAGTATTTAAGTGGGTGAAAGGAATCAATAAAGGTGATATAGATAAAGTTCTTATAATATCCGAGCAGGATAGGACTCGGAACAACGGATTTAAGTTGGATAAGTTTAGGTTTAGGAGGGAGATAGGAAGGAACTGGTTTACAATTAGGGTGGTGGACGAGTGGAACAAGCTTAACCTGGGGTTCTGTCCTCGGTAGGCCTAGCTTAAACTAACCTAAATGTTTCAGTAGTTTAAAACATTGGGGCCTGCCATGTCCGAAAGTAAAATACCTTAGATAGAAGTGGAAGGACCAGGGATACGTAAGAATTGGTTAGAATGATCGTCTTTCTCGCAAAACTCAGCAATAAACTTATAATAATTGCAGGAGCACAAATAACAACCAACCTCCACCATAGTCATTATAAGACTAGTCAAAGAAATTAAAATCGTACCCAGGCTGCTTCCTTTGAAAAAAATCAACTGTGATTGGTAAAAAAAAAAAAATTCGCGTGATGATATCGACGCATCATTCGTCATGACTAGATGATGTCAGTGAATAACATCTTTTCACAGATGAAGACTGAAAACTACGTAAATTCAATTGTCGCTATTATCCATTTGAGCCTGTTATATATGGGGTTCAAAATGCTCAGAATAGGTTGATCTGTTTCAGTAGTTTATAACTTTTGGGCAAGCTATGGCCTAAAGTAAAATAATTATACTGTACAGAGGATAGGGGGTTAATAAATAATTCTAATGGTAACTTCAAATTGATTTTTTCCAACGTTTTTCACATTGTCCTTCCATATGAAGTAGTATTAAGTAATTCCACAAGACATTAGTTACAATTAATAGTGATAACTTTGTTTAGTTAATGTGGATATTTATTGATACAAGATATCAAGGAGGCCCAGTTAAACAAGGATAATCCACAGTTTTATAATTATAAAAATGACGTGTAAATGATCTGAAATAGAGAAACTGGTCTGAATAACATCCTGAATGAGGTTCTCTTGCCAGGAAGTTGACCAGTACTGGACCTTAATATTTAAACATAGCCCCTGAATTTAACAGTTTTACAGGGTCCGACTAATTACCCAAATGTACCCAAATGTAGCCAAATATAGCCGCAATGAAGTCAAATAATGGTCCTAGATGAATAAATCGGACTGCCAATCACTTCTCGACTAGTATTTGGTGTCAGTCACAAAAAATTGGTAAACTTAATTTAATCTGAGTTAATAGATCAATTATATGTACCTAACCTAACCTAACCTAACACAACACAACTCAGATTAAATTAAGTTTTCCAATTTTTTGTGACTGTGACACCAAATACTAGTCGAGAAGTGATTGGCAGTCCGATTATTCATGTAGGACCATTATTTGACTTCATTGAGGCTACATTTGGGTAACAAGTCGGACCGTTTTTACATGATAGTTACCCATATTGACGGTGAAAGAGTCGAGGAAAAGAGGAAACATATCTAAATAACATCTCGTGTGGCACCCAGGAGCAGTCTGATGTACAGTGACTAATGTTAACGGACAATACCACGAACAGGAACACCATGAATTTTATTCTAGACTCATCTATATGAAATTCGTATGCATAGAAAACAGAGGTCCCTATTATTTAATTGCTGAGATGAAATGCGGGATATATTAATTAACATAATGGTACTGTTGATTTGTATATTTCTTTCGGATTTACTTTAATTCTTTATTATTTTCAAATGACTACAATAATCCAAATCTATTCTAAAGACACAATAAGAAATTTCATAGATTTAATAAGTAAAAACTTGGCTGATAGTTTTCTCAAGTATTCAATTTAGGTTAAAAATGACCACAGAATTTGGAAATATATATATACGAGTATTCATCAAGTTTCTCTCTGTTTACCCTTAGGCCCGTATTAGTGGTGTTTTATCAACATTAGTCATCTAGCCTCAATGTTGTTGTTAATCAGCTGATGCCCTACCTTGTGTTTACCTAACTTCGTACGGTGTTACTAAACTGGTTATTTTCTGTGTTTATTAAATAAATAAACCGTAACACACCCCACAAACTGAGGAAATGTAAAATTGGTTTTAATCTGGACATATTTATCGAATATTTCTCCCTATTTTCTCGAGTAAAGAAAAACCGACTTCAGGACTGGTTATTCAGGCAGCCATTCTTCTTAAATACAAAAACAATGTAAATGGAATATACAAACTTAATAACGTAGAAAAAAAAAGATTAAATTTAATATCCATCTTTCAATTGGCACTTCTTATTTATTTATTCTACTTGAAGTTTTATAATAAAATTTTGTCTTTTAATTATGGAAACAATGTTAACAGTACAAGATGCAAGTGTGAAATATAAATTATTTTAGGTCTGAATAGGGTTTTTATAATTACATATACACATTAAAAAGGTTTAAGATATTATGTAACTTTAAAAAATACGCAATTTATCATACGTATTGATAAAACATGACTATTGATATTAAATTTACCCGTTTTCAGAGTGTTGCTTGTTTTCGTAGTTCAGGACGAGCCTCCAGATGGACCCATATATGGTGATGTATCTGTAGGTGACTAATGCAGATAAAGGGAGAAATAATAAGGAAAAACACCTTAACAGTATCTACACCACCCGCGCTCATGTGTAGATTATCCACTTAATAATACAGGTGAGGAGAATTATCTTAAGTTATTAATGTACAGGGAGAGGATGTTTTTGAAGAGTCCAAGTGGTGTAAAATTAAATTAAAGGGAAGGGATTTAATTATTGTCGGGTGTATCTACAGATCCCCAAACTGTGGTCCACTAAATCAAAGGAACTTACGAGCCTTAATAGACAATACAGCAATGGTCAACCCAAACTATGGCGACATCGACTGGAGAAATGAGTTCACCCCAAATGACTTAAATAATCCTGCTACTCTTTTTATAGAAACTCTGAGAGATAATTTTCTGTTCCAACATGTTAGAGACCCGACACATTACAGAGGGAAGCAAACACCCAAGCCCCTAGACCTCATCATAACTAACGAGGAGGGTATGGTGGCCAAACTGGAACATCTTGCCCCAGTTGACACCAGTCACCATGTAGTGTTGTCATTCAGATTTAACTGTTACTTCGTTCAAGATAAAGCCAGGCCAAGGTGCAAATATTACAAGGGAAATTACAATGGGATGAGGGAAGAGATGAAGGGTATCCACTGGCCTGACTCACTAAGGCACAAGAACGCAGACACTACGCTGAATATTATAACTGACCAGGACAAAGCTGAGGCATTGAACAGTTTCTTTTCCTCGGTGTTCACAGGAGAGGATGCGATTAACCTTCCTGCGTTTGAGGACAGACAGTTCGACACAGCACTGACCCACATTGTGTTCACAGAAGAGGGTATAAGAAATAAACTGTCAACGCTAAAGATTCACAAGAGTCCCGGCTCTGACATGGTGCATCCCAGAGTGCTAAGAGAGTTGTGCAACACACTTGCCGAGCCCCTGAAGATCCTGTTTTGTAAATGCCTGGATGAACAAAAGGTCCCCAGTGATTGGAAAATGGCTTATGTGAGTCCTATCTTTAAGAAAGGCGATCGTCACTCCATGAACAACTATAGACTGGTGAGCCTGACCAGCATAATATGTAAAGTACTTGAGAGTATTATCAGAGATGCGGCGATGGAACATCTTTTAGGAAACGACCTTGTAAAGGATTGCCAACACTGTTTTATGCCGGGGCGCTCCTGCTTAACACAGTTGCTCAAGGTATTGGATATTTGGACCCATATTCCGGAACGGGGTGGTAATATTGACAATATATTCCTAGATTTTGCCAAGGCTTTCGACAGTGTACTCCATGAAAGGTTGAAAATCAAACTGGAAGGGTACGGAATTCGGAGAAATGTCCTAGCAAGGATAGAAGACTTTCTACAGTACATGACCGCAAGCAGTGTGGTGATTTATGGCATGAAATCATCATCTGTACCTGTCACAAGCGGGGTACCACGGGGCAGTGTATTGGGCCCGCCATTGTTTGTTTGTTTCACAAATGACATGCCTGACGTTGTACACTCCTCCATACAAATGTTTGCGGATGACGCCAAGTTATTTCGGGAAATCAAGAACCACGCGGACTGTGAAGAGCTGCAGAAGGATCTCTATGAGCTCCAAGAATGGTCGAAGAAATGGCTGCTGAGATTCAATGTCACGAAGTGTAAGTGGATGCACCTGGGGCGTACTAACAGTAAGGAGGCGTATCGTATGTCCCAACGGGATGAAGAAACTGCACCATTTGAGACAATGTGAGAAGAACCTAGGTGTGCATGTTGACAATGAGCTGAAGTTCTCAGGCCATTGCGAGAAGAAGGTAAATCGGGCAAATAAATTAATAGGTCATATAAGAAGGTCGTTCAGATATCTAGACGGTCCGTCCTTCATAACGCCCTACAAGAGTGAAGTGCTTCCCCATCTGGATTACTATCACCCAGTCTGGTCCCCGAGATATACTAGGGACTGTCAGTTGGTTGAAAATGTTCAAAGGAGGGCCACCAGACTGGTGCCTGCGCTTCGGCACCTCAACTACTCTGAGAGATTGGAGTGCCTGAACTTGCCTAGCTTATACTACAGACGGGTAAGGGGTGACCTAACTGAGGTGTACAGTATAAGCATCTCAAGGGGCACTACTCAGTCGAGTGTCCTTACCTGGAGCTGGCGGTCACTTGCCCCACAAGGGGTCACAGCTCAAAATTGAAGAAGCTGGATGTCCAGAAAACTGTGAAGGCAAACTTTTTCGGAGTGAGAGTTGTGAACTTTTGGAACAATCTGCCAGAAAGTGTTGTGACAGCACTGAGTGTAAGCTGTTTCAAGACCAGAGTTGACCAACACTGGAGCAGGTTCAGGTACATTCAGGAGCCAGTGCATGCCCAGTACTGCACTTGCCAACAGTGCATAACAGAGATGTGACCGATCGCCCAAGTGGCTAACGAGCCGATCAGTGGCGAAGAGGATGAAAGAAAAGTAAAAGTGTAATATGTACTGGTACTGATATTTTAAGTCTGCAGGGTAGTTATGAGTTTCGGTTAATATTGACGACTGACCTGCCGACTAGTTATTTGTTTTGGTGTTTAATTTCGACTAATGTGGAGGACTTCACAACTGTTTATCCCCTTCTCAGTAATAGTAAGTTTGGTCAATTTATAGTATCACACCGGTCTTCATTTTGATATTAAAAATAGGTCTTTCCTATGTATTTGATGAGTTTTGAACGAATTTGCTATTCATTTCCACCGGAAATCAAGTGGTTTTTTTTTTATTTTTTTTTAGATAACCCCCAACAATCATAACGGAAAAATGGATTTCTTTTTTAGAATAAATAGTATAAATTATATTACCAACCAGCCAAGAAAACCTAACCTAACCTAACCTAACCTAACCCGATGTTCATGCCCCAGACAGTTAAAGAGCAAAGACTGAGGCCTGGAGCGATGCGTGAGCATGGGGTCAGACCACCTCTGCTATAAGTAAACAAATCACCGCGGCACTTGTGACTGAGCGAAATTATTATCTCGGTTATCCTTAATTTCCGGTGGAAATATCATAGAAGAAAAATGTCTTAGAATTGTGTAAACATTACGAGATACATATTTTTAATACGGAAATAAAGACTGGTGTGATACGGTACTATAAATTCACCATAAGTTTGCCCACGGCAGGTGTTAAGTTACGCTAGGTTAGCTTAACTTAACTTGAACTTTTAAATAAACTCTTTAACACGTTTGCCATGGTTAATATATACGACTAACCCACGGACGAGTTATTTTTGTCTCTGTTTATTTTCTTACATTATTTTCATCAGTGAATGCTGATGTGAAAATCATTTCTTGTGCAAATTCTTTGTTTCATAGATAATTAGGCGCCTAAGCGAGCACTAATTTGTCTTCCCGGCAGTAATGAGGCCGTGCTCTGCTGCTGTGCTTTTCCCCTGGCTCGCGGCAGTTTCATTTTCAGCATGACATGAAGGTTGTCGCCGGTCTTATATGGACGTAATTTGTGAATTTAGGGATAAAGATAATGAGACCCTTCGATTGTTAAAAGACCACGGCATTGTTCCTTTAAATAGAGACTGTTCACACTCTGGGAATTCCTGTGCTTTCAGACCGGAAAGAAATTTGTTCACTTCCTCAACTCCGTGGTTCGATGTTTCCCGCCATCACAATAAATCACTCCGCCGTCCAGGCTGCATAAGCGCCGATGCGCCCGCATCATCTCACGTCCAGAAAGTGCCTCAAATTTCACCATATCATAGTAAGCTCTTTCTGTTTAATTTAATGGCGGTACGGGGGCTAGTTAGGTAAGGTTAGGTAGGTTTGTTTGGTTAAGTTGGTTAGGTTTGTTTTTCATACCCACAAATGTTAATTTACGTTTATTTTAAAAATATAAATTTTAACACATTTGTACAAACTATAACAGTGTCCACTATAAAAAACCCCAGTGAAAATCCGGCGTTTTTATAATCGTTTTCGATCAATTTCGGCTGCGGTTTAGTCCTGAATAATTACCTTTGCCATATCTCCAACACTGTCCTCTATAAAACACAGTTAAATTGTGGTACATTTAAAATAATTTTCTATGAAAAATCAGTGGTTGTGAATCATAAACAATTGTGGTCAATTTATATTAGCCCAGTTTCGGTTTTTCCATAAAAAATGCGTTTTTCCTAAGGTTCTTGTGTTTTGAGCGAATCTGACCTTCTTTTCTGGTGCTAACCGTCTGTTTTTGATTTAAGCCCCCCTCCCCCATGACAGGGATGGGGGAAGTACCTAACTTAACATAACCTAACCTTGGCAGTAATATTGCAGTAAACAGCAACCACAGAATTCCCGAATTTCACTCCACTCAATAAATAGAACTATTTTTTCTATGATCATTTTCTTATATTACATTAGGTTAGGTAACACATTTTTTTATCAGATTCTTTGGTTGCTGTATTCGGCAATTTTACTACCTTGGCACCAGAAATGAAGGTAAGATTCATTTGAATTACAGCAAGAACCATTGGAAAAACACATTTTTTATGGAAAAATCAAAATTTGACTACTACCGTATCATAAATTGACCATAATAACAATATACAGCTCCTCCCCGACGTACGACCTACTCGACTTTCGACCACCCGGCCATACGACCGCCACAGTAGTACCACAATTTTGTCAAATTACGTATTTTCGAGTCCCAACGTCAGTGATTGCGCTGTGTACTGACAAAATTTTCGTTTGTAATTCACTTTAAAATGGCTGGCAAGCTTAAAAGTGAGAGTTTTGTGGTGCTGAGAAGAAAAAGAGACACCCATTTTAGACTTTCTATGTATTATTTAAGCATTTTCGACTTTACGACCTAGATTTGGGTCCCTAACCCCGTCGTAAGTCGGGGAGGAGCTGTATTAGCAAAAGCTTTACAGTGAAGTTTATGTCCAGTCATACATGTGAAGGGAATTTTTTGGTATTATTTTAGTTTCAGTCATCATGGGAATGATACGACAATGCACAGAGCCTAATAGAACCTGACTTAACCAACCAAAGAACCCTACCTAACCTTATCTATCTTTCTAGCCAGGGGGTAAACTTCCTTCATTTTATCAGAAAATACTTTCTTGAAGCGGTTTGGTGTAAGTTTATGTTTTATGTGGATGTGAGAACACGTTTGAACCGAGCGGGTTGCTCGGTTCAAACGTAAATAAACAAAGACCAGATGACAACACTTGCCAACACGGTAGATTTTTCAGGCGAATACTTATGGTAATTAATTTCTCCGTGTACAAAGCACGTAGAGACATCTTTTTAATGTCATATGATCACTTTTCAATGTGTTTTACCACGCAATATCTCTCATCCTTCATATCCTGCACACTGCAGGTGATTTATGATCATAAATAGAGAACTAAAAGAATTAAAAATAAATACTTATAATTATTTTTTTATTGTTTTTATTACAGTACAGTACTTACTATCACCCAAAGAACATCTCTGGGAAAAAAATGAACCAAATCGAGCGACTCCTGGTGTTAGCTATCTGCTTCAGCATTACCATAAAACATTATCATAATATAATAATAACCTCCCCCCCCATCCCCCCCAAAAAAAAATCCTTCACTGCTTAACTTAGAATGAGCTGTTGTGTCATATTAGGTTCCGGTGCTTTGTTTGCATAGTGTGAACAGCTGACCAGTCATCAAGCCTGTGCCCTTGTCTATCTCAATGTTGACGTATTGCTGGCACCCAGAGGATGATTATGAGAAGGGAAGGAGCTGTTATGTAATATAGAACTACTTTTTGTACAATATATTTTGTGTTACTGTATTTTTTGACGGATTATATACGATATTTAGTGTTTATTAGAGTAGTTTTGGAACTGTTTATGCATATATTTTGGCCTCCAGATACTTAACTACAGTACAGTGCAGTACTGTAATTATTTACATTTAAATCCATTAATCTATATTTTACAGTTTGATAAGTCATGATGTCTTCTAGTACCTAATCCATGAATTATCATGACTTCACTGTGCCATCAGATGTTCCATGAATGACTAGTTAACTATTGTATTCCTTTACAGAACAATGCCGGTCCGGAAGGGTGTGCTGTCACTTGGCAGTTTGTGTATTGAAAAGATTACGCAGATGTTAATTAAAATTGTAAATATAAGCCAACCTAAGTCTAAGAAGCAGAGCTGTCAGTACACACTGACTGAAGACCAAAAACACAACATTCATACAGGAACTCAAGAACCAGTGAACACTGAGGTAGATGAGGGCTTCGACCACCACCACCACTCACAACAAGAGGAGACACACAGTTATGGCAATGGTGCTCAAAATGCCCATGACCAAGTCAGTAGAAATGGAGAGTCCCATGACCAAGTCAGTGGAAATGGAGATGCCCATGACCAAGTCAACAATACTGAAGAGGCCCATGACCAAGTCAACAATAGTGAAGAGGCCCATGACCAGGTCAGTAGTAATGAAGAGGCCCATGACCAAGTCAACAATAGTGAAGAGGCCCATGACCAGGTCAGTAGTAATGAAGAGGCCCATGACCAAGTCAACAATAGTGAAGAGGCCCATGACCAGGTCAGTAGTAATGAAGAGGCTCATGATCAAATCAGCAGTACTGAAAATATACACGACCCAACCATAAAGTTGAAGATTAGTGGTAGTAACCATGAGGTTGATAAGCTAGATGAGCCAAAGCTTGATACAACTAAGGTGGAGGATACCAAGGAAGAATCATTGGAAAGTAACAGTTATAAACTGGAGAAGAAAGATACAGTCCAGGAAAACATTGACAGGGAAATACAGTATAAAAAAGGTTAGTGAAAGAAATTAAAACAAATACTGCTCTTGCATTCTATTTTATTCCTAATTGTGTTTTATTACGTTTCTTTATACTGTATATACAGTATTATGATTACCCCGGTATATATGTTTAAGCAAGATTTGATTTTGACCTCTCCCTTCATTTGGTAGCCAGCTGCTGCTCTGTTGAAGTGAACACAGAACTGGTGTGTGCAAGTGTGTGTGTGTGTGAGTGAGTGAGTGAGTTAGTTACTCCCTGTAGTTATAACAGACAAATAACAATGAATTTGAACTAAACTTGATACTGTATATGTTAATACGTAGAGCACAACAAAAATGAAAGGAAATCCATTATTGGTGAGTTTTGTCATGATTGTCCAGACTTATGATCCATTAATTTTTTTGAAGTGGAGTACTTGGTCTCCTTTACTGGCATAAACTTGTTATATAATGGTGGTTTAAAGGATAAAGGTTGAGAAAGTTTTCTCTTCATTCTTGTTGTTCATGTCATAGCAAAGACCCACTCATATCCTTATTACTAGTTGTTTGGTATGATGCTTCTCTGATGTATGATTAAATTTTTTGTATTGGGACTTTTGCAAACCTTGATGTAGGTTTTCACTTCAAATAAAAAGTATCTACTGTAGGTAAATAGGGTTCTTGATCACTCCATGTTTTACTTCGATAGTACTGTAATAATAAAGTATGTGTCCTTAGCATGTATGATATTACTGGAGTTACTATATGTCAAGCTAGAATTATCTGCCATGTTAATAAAGCTTTTGTATGGCATCTTGTCTTGAAATTATGAATTAAATGTACAAGCAACTTGATCCTAAGAAGCCTATGTTGTTCATATATTATTTCTGATAAAACACAGTCCGGAAGTTTAAAGGACAAGTACTGTACATTTCTGTGGTGCTAGAATGTCTATGGTGTAAGAATACTTGTTTATTTACTTGAACATGAGTCTTAAAATGGTCTCATGGTAACTTAATCATCAGACTGAAATTGCTGTACACCTAGTTGCTCCTTCAATCACCCAAACAGACAAAAATTGCTTGAGGCCAATTCAGGACTGTAGGGTAGGTGAGGGAGAACCTACAGGCCCGGATTCTGCAGTTTGATGGTTGTTTTATTTACATTACAGTATTTGGAAGCAAGATACCTGCATGTTTCCCCTTAATGGTTGTTTGTATTTCTCCCTTACCTACCCAAACAGTCTGAACTTTGCTCATAGTAATTTCCATCTCTTCAGGTCACTGAGTGAGAGTCCAGATGGGCAGCAATATTGAGATAGTTCAGAGACAGTTCTTTCTATGACAGAGGCATTCAGGCCAAAGTACATGAATGGGAGAAGTGTTGTGCTGTGCAGGGAAGCTGTGTGGAGAAATAGAGATAGGGTAAGCTTGAAGTTCTAGTCTTACTTCTAATAAGAGATACTTTACAGTAATTTATCTTGGAACTTACGACCACCCGGACATTACGACCGCCGCAGTTGTATAAAATATTTTTTAAATTACGTATTTTCCAGTCCCGACATTAGTGATCGCGCTGTGTACTGACAAAATTTTTGTTTGTAATTCCCTTTAAAATGGCTGGCAAGCGTAAAAGTGAGAGTTATCGTGGTGCTGAGAAGAAAATGAGACACCCATTTTAGATTTTCTAAGTATTATTTTCGCATTTTCGACTTACGACCAATTCGATTTACGACCTGGTCATCGGTCCCTAACCCGTCGTAAGTTGAGGACTGACTGTATAGTATTTCAAGTTAGTGTAAGTAAATACGGTATATATGAACAAATCTTTGGACAATTATAACATTTGCAGTATCCGAAGTTAAAATGTAAATTAAATGCAGTATTGTGTCCATAACTCAATATTTGTTTAATTTTTCAGAACTTGAGGCTGTAAGACAAGAACTGTGCAGGCTTTTAACGTCACACTCTCATGTCACACTCCATCGTCTGCTCTTTGATTCAATAATGACTCAATTAGATCCTATTTACATGCGTGACAGAAAGGTCCGGCCTGCTGCTCAGGATATTATTATTCATTTCATCAATTCAACTCTCAGAGATCTGGATTTTGGGAGAGTAAAGATGTTTTCTGAGGCTGAGATGTGCAAGGTCAGTACATTTGTCTAACTGTTGTTGCTGAAGATGTACTGTTTCTACCTTGTCTATGAACAGAATATACAGTTGTTGTGTGTTAACTAATAAGCCATAACTTTTCCCTTGCTACTAAAGGTGTTTGAGGATATGGGCATACATAGTCCTGCAACCTTAGCATTAGCTATGGTCTTGTATAAATTTTTAACTACTGTATAGACTAGTGTTTGCTAAGTGAAGACTTTGTAGGTGACTTTCATTTGTAAAGGACATGCGTCATGGCTGTAGGTCATTTACCAAGATTTTGGCATCAGTCAATGTCACCAGTTTTAAATTCTTTGAAACATTTCTAACCTATTGCTGGGACTGAAAACCCACATTCCTAGGACCCAAAACTGGTGTAATAAAAAAAAAAAATATATATAATACTTGTACTTGGTTTCTTCAAGGCATACATTTAGTATGGCAGTTCCCCCTAGAGGGAGAAGGTTGACAGTGCAGACAGTCCTTGGTTTACAAACTTCATGTGTTCCTAAAAAAAACATAATTGTAAACCAGATCAATAAATCCTATTAAAACCAGCAATGGAAAATGGCTGTAAAAGTGTGATGGGGTTGATCCCTAGATCATACTCAGCTAAAAAACACAATTGAATAAATTGATATAATAGATAATAATATGTTTTCCCACATTCGAGTGTCTGAATTCCTGTGTTTATGCAAGTGGAACAATGTTTGAAAGACCAAAATATGGTCCGAAAGTATACTACAGTACAGTATTTGTATGAGCAAATTTCATATGCTGGATGTTCATAAACTGGAGACTTGCCTCCTTTATTCTTTTACGTTTCTCGGTCACAAAATAACAAAACTGGATCAAGAGTCATCGTTCCAGACACTCGAGCCTCCGGATCAGTCACTTTTACTCTGCTTGTACTGGAAGCTGACTGTTCTCCCCAAATCGTATATTAAATATTTATCATGTTTGACCAGTGGCCACACAGTCAAAACAATTACTATTATGTCTTGTTGTAGTTTGTGATATGCACTGTAGGAGTTTTACATCTGTTGAGGAAATTGTAATGTGCTCGTATTCACATTTCATAGTACATCCTATCAAATTAAAAAAAAATTTCTTCAGATTTAGCTTCTAAAAGGATACGTAGTTAGGTGGAGTCCATATTGGGACCTTAGAAGGTCTACAAACAGTATTTTCTCTTTTGAACTTATTGTGTGTCACCTTGTGGTCTTGGGTAGGGCAAGGGGGAATGTTCCAGGGGATTTTAAAACTGGCTAATTCAAGATTGGGTCATTCAGTAAGAATAGTTGGGATAGGTTCTTGTTTGGCTCCTGCAGTTAGATAAGTGGTACAGTATTCCAGTTCATTGTGGAATCTTTGTATGTTTACTAAGTGGCAAATGCTGCTTTTGAGGAACTCAATATGGAAGAGAAGGTTTATCATAATTTTAAATTTATTCAATTTTCAGACTCTTGTTACAAGTTTTGGTTCCTGGGAACTCAGGTTTTCAAGCCTGTAGTTTTACTGACCACAGTACTCTGTACAATATATGAAAGAAAGTTGGATGTTAGGATCAGTCCCTCGTTTTTCACACACGCCATAACTTCTTAACGATTAAAAAAAAATTATATTCAAATATCACACAATTTCATTCTGTCAATCCAGAAAGAACAAAACATACACACTCATACTTTGCTTAGCACTCAGGATGTCTTCCTGGAAGAGTGAGGGCTCTTCCAGCATTGTATGAGTGGTATGTGAGAGCTTCGTTGAGGTATTGTAATACTGTAGTACAAGTATTCCCTGATTTACGAAAATGTTTTGTTCCTGTAAAGCCGTTCCTAATTTTTGGGGGTAAACCAATGAATGTTTCCCATCATAAGAACTGAGATATGTTCCAATGAAAAAGAAATAAAAAATCCCAAAATATCTTAAAATGCCACAAAACATTTTTAATTAAAAATATTTGGTGCACCTGATGATTATGACTCAATAATAAATTCTTTCTCTGACAACTCTTCACCTTTATTGTACATAATTAGCAAATTAAATTTTAGATTATGGAGTAATTTTCTTTTACAATATTTAATTTTTCATATACAGTATTACATGAGAGTTAATAAGGAGAAATTGGACAATCAGGCAACTGGCTGAGTGACTTTGTGCTGGTGAAGACGAGTCTACTTGTCTTTAGTGAGTCTGAGGAGTAAGTTTTATAGTACAGTACAGTAATTGTAAGAGAATGATGACACATTGAAAGCTTTGTAGACTTACCAGTAATAACATTGCAAGTGTGAGAAAATAATGGTAGTAAAAAACTGCATTAGATTAGGTTACTTTCATTATCATTTAGGAAAGAATTATGAAAATGTCAAACTTTTTTTGGTAACTTCAGGGTTTTTTTTTGTGTGTGTGTAAATTAAATCTTAGGAAAATTTTGTTTTTCTCATAGCTGAATTTTCTTAAACGAGGCTTCCTAAATTAGGGACTACCTGTACTGATAATTCTATAGATAGTCAACATATCATTTTATAAATAAAACAATTATTATAATAACATGAGAAAGTATGAGCTAACAAATACTAATAATTAACATAGCCAAGTGTAGCACATCCTCACTACACTCAGCTTCCTCCACCTACCTTAACACTTGCATTGTCACATTCAAGTGATGTTTTTTCTTAATAATTTTGTCACATTTATGGCACTAACACCTGTAGGCATTTTACAGACATAAATCTAAAATGCTGTCAGAAACACAAGTGCTGATTGGCTCAGAGCATATGTTGCTCTCATAGGTGGTGAGCAATGAGTGGTTTCTTGTGTAAATTTTGAAATACCTTACGGGTTTTTTCCCTAATAAAAATTTTCTCCGGAACAATGAGCTCTATATAAATCATCATTATATAGAGTAGCACTAAGCAAGGTATGAGTGTACAGGTACAGAGTATTTGAAGATGCTGAGAGTACATAATCATTTACTAGGATTAATTTCCATCCTTAAGGGATAATATATTAGTCACATAGTAAAATATTAAGGAGATAAATATAGTACAGATATTGTAATACTATACTGTATATATCCTGAAGATTTTGTGCATATCTACTATATTGATTCTAATACCAATTTGATTCTTATTAGGTTTTGTATGAGAATCTACATAAAGCTACACGACTGGAGAAACTGGTGATTGGTCGGTCGTGTTACTGGAGATCACAGATCTTTGAGAAAATGAGCGAGAAGTTGGTTTGTATGCCACATCTAACAGTCTTAAAAATTCAGTACATAGCAACACCTGAGATGATTCATGGCCTCTCAAAAACCTGCTCTAAGCTTTATGAGTTGTCACTGGCAGGCTCAGAGAATATTACTGACCAACAGTGTGATGAAATTGCCAAATGTGCTGGACTAACATTGCTGGATATTTCTGGAACAAGAATTACTGGAAGAGGATGTTGGAAAATTCTAGATGCCATAAAAAGTCTGTCTTGGCTTCGTCATTGTGCTTTCAATTGTAATTCAGATGCACTTCTGTTTGAATCAAGAGCAGACTTATTTAACTGTATTAAAGAACAGTTGCGGCGCGGAGAAAATGCCATATCTTTGGTGGATCGGCCGGACCTTAGTCTCAGAGATGCCAGATTCAACCTGAAGAACTTCTGGCTCTTCAATCCCTTCACTGAAGACTTACTGACCTCACTGCTCTGTCCTGATTTGGAGAGCCTTCGTCTAGATTTTGTCTTCCAGGATTTAGAAGGAGAGCCGGACTTGACGATCCTCTCCTCACTCACCCAGGTTATTTTTGTTCTCTTTTGTTATAACTTAAAGACAGAAGTTGATTTAGATTAGGTTATTCTTGGTTAGGTTAGGTTTAGGTTATACAGTACTAGGTTAAGTTAGGTTATTCTAAGATAGATTACATTTGGTTAGATTAGGTTATGCTAGGTTAGATTAGGTTAGGTTATGCTATGCTATGGTAGGTTAGAATATAATAATATGTTGTTCTCTGTAGATACTGTATTTAATTTTACCTGTAATATAGAATGGGGAAACAAGAGTATATCTTAATGTCAGGCGTATAATAAGTTTTTTGTATAGCACATGTATACCTGTGTACAGTACAGTGCACTCTTATTTTTCCTTGTACAGGTGTATTAAATTTTTTTTTCTTTACTTTCTATGTTATTCTCTCTGATAATCAGCAATGCTGTACAACATATTAAGTATTGCACTGAAATAATATTTAGTAAAGGCAAGATCTAATATGAACTATTGTCATATTGATGATAGATTGGTACTACACTACACTATTCTTTTTCGAGTAGATTTTAATGAGTTTCAGTTGAATTTGATTTGATTTCATAGTTTAACACCACTTTAGAGTGACTAGGGAAGTGGCAGCTGAATGGGTACCGAGTATATCTATCACATCTTGTCCTAAGGGTTGTTGGTTCATGCCCAGTTTATCCAGATGTGAATGGGTGCCCAATTTTACAATTGGGGAAACTGAAGGTAGTTGAATGCAGTGCTGGCCACACTGTCTCCTTGTGTTCCAAAAAGCAGTCTATAGTATGGTGTATCTGCACTACCCTTAATGGACTGTTATGCTGTGAGGCCCATGGAAGAGTCCATTCTCATGTTATGCCTTAAATATACAGTATACTGTACATGCCATAGCCTATGATGTTTGCCAGATACAATGAGCCTTACTCTATTTACTATTGTAATTTATGTTGTCATTCTACACTGCTGAAATGCCAACTACCTTACCTTTTGTACCTGTGACCACTGTATTCTGTACCATTATTCATATCATTTTAATAGGCTGCCTTGTACCTTGTTATCTAGTGTAGGATGATGTAAGAAAATTATGAAACAAAAAACTACTTCTAAGAATTCTTTCATTAATCGTTCCAGATCAGGAACTTGGAGGCAAACTTGTACGACCGATGTTCTATTGACTTAGTTGGTCGTATGGTAGAAGGCTGTGGAAAACGACTAACGACCTTGGAACTGCACCTGGCTGATGACTGGTTCTTTGTTGCACAAGTATGTGAAGTGTAACTGTAGAGTTGTATTGATTATTGTTTATACCTGATGCTATATATTGATCTAGCTTGACGCTCCACGGGGTCACTCTACCGTTCTTCATTTCCTTGTACATGTGATGGATGAAGAGTATTAAGTCACTCTGTCAGTCTGACTGTGGTTAGTGATCATTACCACAGTCATTACTACAGGTGTATTACAAATTAAATTTATATACATAACAATATTAAAAAATTATATGCCTATATTTTACAATAGAGATCTAAACCTTTGATCCCTTGTGTATTGGGGTCCCCTCTGTGCCGAATAAAATTGTCGGGCATTAGCCAAATAAAATATTGAAAATTGCATTCCTGTAGTGAACTTTCTTTTAACAGACATCAATCTTAACCATACTCCCCTCTCCCCACAGGCTCACAATATTGTAGCCACCTGTTGCCCAAACCTGGTAACTCTCACCTTCTCTGGAGACTACAAGGTCAGTACACCTATGTTATGGTTTAATATGTACCTGTATTACAAATATACTTTGCCTTCATCACTTTATTTTCTTTGCATCAGTTTAAATGCAGTAAAACATCCCATTTGAATATTCAATAATTAATGCCTGGGATAACTACCCTGTAGTTGGCTGTAGATATTTCATTATGAATTCTTTTAACTTTATACTTAAATTTTATGCACTGTAAATTCCTGTAAAAGTTCCAATAGTAACAATAGATAATAAGGATGTTATTAATTCCTTTTTGATTGTAAATCTTTTAACCCTTAAATGGGAGCCATAATCAGTGAAAGTTAGCTGTAGGGATGGTGGCCATCATCTGGGGTAGTTTAATTTTTGTGCATATGGAGGGTGGGGGGGGTTAGGGAATCTTCAGTAGCTGGTTAAGGGTTAAAGAAGAAAAAATGATGACGAAGATTGTACAGCACTTGTATGTTTATATGAGCAGTTACAGTAAAAGAATAGCAGCTGATGGATGGTCCTGGGTAGTGATAAAAAGACAGGGATAAACCACATGGAAATATTGGGGTTTTTTGTGGAGATATACACCATAGTAGAACATATCTGTTACAGCAGATAGAGAGGAGTGTGACAGAAGATGATGGAGGAGTACATTATGTTGCAGGATTGAACCAAATTTAGGATCAGCTAAACATGTGGGAAGTCGGAGTTATATTGAGGAAATCAATAGATAAAATTAAGAGAAATAAATATTGAATGAATTTAAAGTATTAGTTTTAAATTTTTATCAGTCAACAACCAAGAAGTACTGTAAAATTATATGTACTGAGTCATACTCTTAAATGAAGGACTACAGTCCTTGTTTCTTACTGTAGAATTATATAGACATTAATATGTAGAACATAGTGTTGTGAGCAGGACCCAACACTATGACAGGAAGTTAGCTACTGTATATAACACAGGTTCTTCGGGCAAACTGCTAAAGGTTGTTGATGGCAGTAACATCTAATACTAAACTTGAAGGTATATGCTTATGATTTATAAAAGTAAAATATGGGTTTGCCAGTAAGGTAATGCAGTATTGCTTTCCTTTTTTTAATTTGAAAAATAATATGGTTTTCTAATGACTTATAATTACTGTATTTGGATAGACGGAAGCAGAACGACCAGATCGGGTAAGCCAGAAAATTTTTAGAATTTTAGTAAAGAGACTACTGTACTGGTATGTGTTGGAGCTCTAACCCTCATCACTCATTATAAACATATTGGTGCATGTTGGCTGAGTTCTACTTTTATTGTGGCATTAAATAAAGTACTATATACTGAAGTGTTTATTCACAAATTGGTATTGATTTTGAAGTTTTCTTTACTGCATAAATAATTTTTGTGTTATATTCCCAAAATTTACTTTTGAAAAAGTTTATATTTTTTTAATACTTTATACAGTATAGGTATGTAACTGTTTATCTAACCGGAAGGCTCCAAAAACCAGCTATGTTCAGGAACAAATTATTTAAAATGTGTGCCAAAAGTAATTCTCGGGCCGTGGAGGGATATTTTCAACCATTCTCCACCAGTGAGCTATATGTTATAATTATTTTTCAACTCGTAAATTTGGGTAGATAAACTGTATGTAATTTTCTTTACTCAGTTACATACACTCTCAATCTTACATACAGAAAAGATGAACAAAAAAAATCAAAGAAATTATTATCATAAGGTAGTATTGGGTACATTCTCAAAATATTCATTTTTTTTAATACGTTACATGCACACAATCTTACATACAGAAAGTTCAAAAAGAAATAAAGAAATAATTATCCTTAAGTATAAAGTTTTACGTATAGTATACGGATTTACATCTGTGAAGCTGTGTGGCGAGTGTGCAGGTTGGGGGTCCATTTTAAGTTTTAATGTTACAGTGTACAGTTAAAGCTACTTTATGGGTGAACTTAGTGATCTGAACAGAGGCTTCACAGTCAGTTACAGCAGGTTTACTGTACATTTTAGGCCTGGCATTCCAAATTCACCCACAAAACCTATCCAGCAACCCCCAGGTTCAAAGCGTGCCGTATAAATGTTCCCATACCTGTATTGATTTTGCTTGTATTTGTAGAGTTCAGGAATAATTATTTTGGTAAAACATGTTTACCATCTAAAAGGAACCATGTTGTTCTGCCAGGCTGGGAATAAATCTTATGACTAGTCTTAAGTGTGAAAAAAGTTTTATGGGAGATAAAGTCACCACACAGGTACAAGGCTGTTGGGTCATGGCATATAAGCAGTGGACCATCCTTCTGTCTCTTATATCAGTTACAAGATGACAGCCATAACAACAGTCCAAGTGTAGTGCACAACTGTGTTCACAATATACATGTCATGACTCCACTTGCACTATACAGAATGCACATTGGATAATTTTCTGTCTGTTCACTTGTCAAGAAGTGTTGACAGCTGGGCTACACAATCACTTGTGTTTCTTCGAATCATCTTTTTAATTCTTGGTGCAAGAGTTGTATTTTGTAGCAATCCTTTTCAAATATCATAGCTGTGTTAATTTTGTGGGGCTGATTTAGCATCTGACAGAGAAGATAACTTAGTGTCACCAGTGTAACTCAGCCAGTTGTATGAACATAGTTGTATTAACAGGGAAGGGATTCCATGCCAATTTGTGAATGACCAGTTAAAAAATGATTCAGGAATCAGGATTTATTAATTTGTCATGACTGGTTTTCAGTGTATGGGGTCCACAGGCCTGCACAATGTGACAGCATTTTAAGGGTTCTTGAGTGATCCATTCTCTTCTAAATTAAAACTTAAAGGTTCCTTCAAGGGGCCAGTGGTTTTTACCTGTGTAATGAGAGTAATATGGGTTTTGATTCATTTACTCACTTGTCAGAGTTTCATCATCAACAGTGTTTTCCAAGAGTGGGACACAACACTTAAGACATGTCCTAATTCAATCACACCCCAAGGAGAGACAGGGATAATAAGGTTTTATGTATAGTATAAGGCACTCACTTCCATTATGTTATCAGCTTGTTACACATGACCATTCCCTTAGAACTTGAAAATATGGTCAGTATTTTTGACATACTGTTCTTATGGAAGTAAAAGCAGATTTTCACCCATGGTGAATGATTCATAAATTAGTTTGTCCTTCAAATCATATTCATACTAATTGTATGACAGTTGCTCCATGACCAGACATTCTTGTACCCTTGTCATAACTTGTGTTGTTTGCTGGGTAGATTCCTCGGGATACAGTATATGACAAGCTGCATCTTTGATAGAGATCATTTACATTGTGCTTAAAGCATTGATCTTTAAAAAGAGGTAAACCCTTTATGTGAAGGGTTCAAGTGTTGGTTGCCCTTCTTTTGTTAATAACATTAGATTTCAACAAAACAAGGCTCAAACTTTCAAAGGTGGAAGTGACACAGGGACAAATTCCCAAGGAAGGAGTGTATACTGACTGTGTGACCTTGGAATGTATGTAAAGTAAGGTTTATACATGTTATCTTCCCAAGGTGTTTGCCATGGACAGTTGCAGCTGTTTCTGATTTTCTTATCTTCCTCATATCAGGCCGAGTCCCCTGGTATAGTTTTTGTAGTATAAATGATGGATTGTTTCTGAAACCCCATATTATAACTAAGATAAGATGGAAGAACCAGTTACCCTCCTTCCTCCCAAGGGTAATTTGCCATATGTATTTCATGGAACATGGTTTGTTGTTGTGGCTGACTGACAGTCCTACCATGAGTGGGCCTCTTATTTGTAGAAAACCCGTTTTACAAGCTTTTGGTTATAATATGAAGTTATAATATTAATTAGATTAGTTACCAGTTGTTATTATTGTTAGGGGTTAGTCTGGGTTCTCACTCTCTCTTCATTTGGCTGGCAGAATCACATGGATCCTCTGGCCTGTTCTCTGTTACAATATGGGACTAAAGGATTGATATATTATTTTTAATTTGATGATACCGTATACAGAACCATTTAATGAGTAGAGAGAGACAGCTGTGACAGTTGTTAAAAGTGAATTCAATGGCCTGAAGAATGGATTGCTACTTTCACAATGCTGTACTAGCAAATACAGTCACGAACAAAAGTCCTGTAGCTTCTCCTGCTGAGCCACAAACCATGAGATTCAGACTTACGAATCCAAATCATTTGTGGAAAGAATAATGCATCAGTGTCTACCACTTCTGGTTCATGGTTCACAAGATTGAGTCTCAGGGTTCGTGGAGCAGCAGGAGAGGCGACAGGACTTTAGTTCACAACTGTACAGCTTGTCCTAGAGGATGGATGGATAAAGTCTAACAAAAATTGAGAAAAACTCACAAGTCAATACCTGATACTGTACATAACTTAAGCTCTGTATTGTTGTTGATGCTGCAAAATCAGTAGATATAAGCCAGTTTGCATTGAAAAGATTGTGTCACATAAGTGACTTTAACCTAGCTTAACTGAACCAAATCTAACCTTACTTAACTTATCTTAGCATAAGCTAACTTTACTTCAGATTACATGATTATGTTTTAAGAGGAACTCTGTGAGTCCTTTTTCATCAGAATATTCTTTATTCTAAGTTTATTTCTTGCCTCGTCTAGAACTTTTTCTCCATTAATACTCCATTTATATGGTACAACAGTGGAGTACAGTACCTGCTTCTCACTACTGCAATTGTGAGTTTTAAGTCACTGGGTCAGATGTGAGAAGGATGTTATCCAGTGTGACTTATCTTTGGATACTCTGCTGTCCTTCTGTACTATTATTGGACAGTGAAGGTCTTAACAAAGAACAGATGTGGATATTATATCAGCTGCCCACCTAAACAGCTAGTAAGCTGACAAGTTGGGAAAGTGATTACAGTATATAGTCGAACTATATACACGCAGTAATTTTGAGGGGTTAAATTCATTCATTTCCGTGGTCATTTATGGAGGAAGATAGCTAACCTTACCAGTAAACTCCTAGATTTTTTCTTCGTGTTGCTACATGAAGAGCAGAACCTCATTCACTATACAGTATACCCCGGTATGCCACTTAAAATCTACAAATCCTGATACAAATGAAGATATGTATACTGTACTGTACAGATAATTTTCCTTTCGTTTGCATCTGAATACATTGCTGGTGGCATTGTTGCCAAATTAGATTCGTCACTCTAACTACATCCCCCCTTACTCGCGCCCTACCAAGCCAACCTGTTACCTTTCTTATGGTTATTTTTCAATATGTAATTTCGGGTAGATGTATGTAATTTTATTCAATTGTTTTACTTAGTTACATCCATACACAATCTTACATACTGATTGTGCCCCCCCCATATTTTTTTTATAAACTTAAAAATATAAAAGGAATAAACATTTCTTCTTGCATAAGAATTAGAATGGTGAAAGGTGGAGGGGGATCAGCTGTCTCTCGAGTCTCATGTGCAGTGAAACAATTGACAAATACTTCATTGTCCCGCAGCCAAATGGCAATGCAATATATATTTTTTTTTTTGGTGCAGTATGCCCCCCAAGTTCGCGGATTTTTACTTTGCAGTTCTTGGTTATTCGCGGATGACACTGGATGTACCCAAGAATGTCTGTGGGTAGCTTAAAAGTTGCCGGCATTTTTGCGGCTGGGACAGGGAGTCATTCATTCTAGAGACAGTAATTTCCTTTACCTGTATTGTAAATATGCATGTGTGTGTGTGTAAATGCACACACACAAAACACATACAAATAAATAATAATTTTAAAATCTTCTCACAAATAATCAGAAACAATTTTATTAAAAATGTGACAGTCTACCCTTAAGTCCGTGCTTTATTAATAAAGTACTGTACTGTAATAGAACACGGACTTGAGGGTAGACTGTCGCATTTTAATAAATTTGTTTCTGATTATTTGTGAGAGGATTTTCCAATTATTACTTATTTGTACGTGTTTTGTGTGTGTGTGTCTGTGTGTGTCTACACACACATAAACATATACAATACTACAGGTAAAATAAACAATTGTCCTAAGGGCAAACACATAAGGGAATATACATTTCTTTGTACACGAGTAAAAATGATCCCCCCCCCTCCCCCCATACGCAAATGTTATTTGTGGATTTTGCGATTTGCGGCCATTTTGAGAACCTAACCCTCGCGAATTTGGGGGGGGGGGGGCTCTGAACTGCATTATTTTTATCTATTCCTCACATTTACTGCTACAGCACAGTATACATTATTATTTATCTTATTCCTCACAGTTAAATATCTTATTACTAAAACATTTTGATGAGATCTACCATGAGGTTCAAAGGAGGGCCACCAGACTGGTGCCTGCACTTCGGCACCTTAACTACCCTGAGAGATTGGATCGCCTGAACTTGCCTAGCTTATACTACAGACTGGCAAAGGGCGACCTAATTGTAATTGAGGTGTATAAGCATC